CACAAGCTACTAAGAAGCAGATCTGAAATTCAAACACCAGCATATTTGACCTCCAAGCCCACAGCTTTAATTTTCTGCCTACGAGAGTTAGACCTGATAAATTCCTCTATAAATACCAAAGAAGTGTCAGAGCCGAGGAACTTCAACTAGAATATAATTGTTTTTTCTTTTATATCTTCTGTAAAGGTATGAACTCACATTTTGAGCTCTGAGTACAGAAAATTGCCAAAACATTTCAGCCTGGAATGTATCAGTGCATAATTCCTTAATGCTTGAGAGCACTATGACAAGAACCTGAATTATAATTGCAGATTTCTAGTCTTATACAAAAAAAAATAAAAAATAAAAAATAAAATGGCAGCCTTAAACAAAAAATACTAGAGGATGGGTTAGTTTCTTAAATGAAATATTTTTCTTTGAATTTTCCCATTAAAATATCTAAACTCTGCCCTAACCAGTTTTGCTTAGTGGATAAAGTGTCGGCCTGCAGACTGAAGGGTCTCAGGTTCAATTCCAGTCAAGGGCAATGTACCTTAGTTGTGGGTACAATCCCCAGTAGGGGGAGTGCAGGAGGCAGCTGATCAATGTTTCTCTCTCATTGATGTTTCTAGCTCTCTATTCCTCTCCCTTCCTCTCTGTAAAAAACAAAACAAAACAAAAAAACACATTAAAATATATTTTAAACAAAATATCTAAACTCTGAAGTAGGTATGGGAAAATCAGAAACTCAAAAATTAGATTGCAAGGGATTCTCCTTTTCCTACCCTTCAAACTCTCTTTACAAAAAGACAAAACTGCAACGTCAAAATGAGGAAGAAGGATGGTTAACGTCTAAATAAATCTCAGGAAAAGTGTCACCTGAGGCAGGGAGTCAGACAGCTGCCAAAAAGCAAGAGTAGTAGTTTATTTTTGGTACACATACTAATACTAAATCAAATGCTAATTCAAACTATGATTTAAGGGAAATGATTTAAGGGACTTTGTCAAACTCTTTTGACTAATGAGTTAGAAAGATTTTAATTTATTGTTTTCTTTAGTTGATGGTCTTATTAGCAACTTAAGCTACTAAAATGCATTAATTCAAGGCACTTAACCAAGAGATCGCCTGCATGAGGTTTCAGAAGTCAAAAACTGGGGGCTCAAAGCTCAAACTGAACTCACAAAGGTGTTTATACCTGGATCATATGGGATTTTATTTTAATGTGTGAGCAAGCGTATTCAAAAGATTTTATAAAATGACATTTAAAACATCCAAATTTTGAGTTTCTCTAAAAAAAAAAAAAAAGATTTGCCAGTGACAGGTTCATATTCCTACATGGTCACAATTGGCTGGAGCTGCATGTCAGCTGTTCCATCAGAGAGGTGAGGTTTCTGATCCGCACTTCCTGGCTCTCTCCTCACTCCTATACTTCTCTTCCCCATGCCTGGAACCAGCCCTGTTTATGATGCCTACTTTAGAGGAATCAGATAAGGAAAGTGCAGACATGAAAGAAAAAAAGATACACCACCAACAAAAAATGAAGAGAAGACATGGCCCATACCACTTGGGGAAAATGTCAACATACTAGACAGCAAAAAACAGTGTTTCTCAATATCATACGCCATAGTATTTTGGGGCACTAGAGATCAAGAGGCTTGTGACAGAAAAATTTTAAAGTGACGCAAATCCTTTAGCTAAATATTGTCCAAATGAAGCACTTTTTGTATTCTGGCAAAAGTTAAATTCTAGGCAGATATTTCAAAAGGATTTTTTTTTTTTTGTCTGATGTCAACTATAAAAAACTCTTCAAATTCTTCCGCCACTTTTGATATGTATGCGGAGTTTACCCAGGAGAAAAAAGACAAGACAGCTTTCTTGGTTTGTCTTCCTAACACCTCAATATATTCGTTCCAATAATTAGACTCTCCATCAATAAGCAGAGCTCATCTCATGCTCAAAAGCAAAAACAAAGTAGCTAACCAGGATCAGAAATATGGTCATGATATATGAAATAATGAAATATGGTTTTCTCCCAAAGCACAAGTTATTCTCCCTGCTCCTTCACCCAGCTGGTTTTCAAGTCTGACTTTTGCCCACCAGGTGGCGAGCTAGCAAATTCAAGATTCTATTTCAATTAGCACTTTTTTAAAAGGCAGATTTTCTAAGATTCTTACAAAATAACTTTCAGCCCCACCCTACCCTTCTGCTTCTTCAAGCTCAATTCACCCCTCTCCCTAACATACAACAGCACTTCTTTTGTAAGCCGGTTATCTTGTATTTTATAAATGGGAGGCAAAGGAAAAGTGCCAAGGACTCTGTTCAAGGTCACAGAAGAAAAGGCAAAATAAGGACTTGGAACTTCCAAAGACTTGGCCCAGGGTTTGGGAGTCAGGAAATAGTGACCTTTGAACGTCATTTCTGGTGAGCCAAAATTATGTGCAGCAGAATATTATAAAGGGTATAAATTTAAAAGGAGGAAGTGAGGGGAGCCAAGGCATACATGTTCCATGGGGAAAGAAAACAAAGTTCTCTGCTTTCCAAGGAGGGATGTAGAGACCGGGGTCCAATGTGGTTCAGGGAGCACGTGGGAGAGAGAAAGAAAAAGGGTAGAAGGTACAGCAAAGGCAGGAGGAAAGGGAGCAGAGAAAAAAATGCAAAATGAGGCGAGGGGTCTCTGAACTAAGCAGGTGGGTGGGCAGATCAAGGAAACCATGTAAAGACTCAGACATGTGCGTGTCAGAGAAAAACGTTTCCTAACCCCAACCAGACAGACACCATATCCTCAAGTGAGGACACAGAGGCCTGAAGAAGAGCTATGAACACAGGAGAGAATGTGTAGTTACACACCCTTCCTCCTTCCTCACATGAAAGGGGTCTCACACACTTGAAAGAAATGTGTGTGTATCCAAGAGGCGGTCCAGCACAGTGGTTAAGAGCACAGACTCTGGAACCAGATTAGCCTGACTATCTGGGTTCGAATCCAAATCCTACCTTAGCTCAGTATCTGGGTGACCTTGAACAAGTTATTTAACCTCTCTGTGCCTCTTCTGTAAAATGATAAATGTTAAAAGATTAAATTTGGCCCTGGCCGGTGTGGCTCAGTTGGCTGGAATATTGTCCCATACACCAAAAGGTTGTGGGTTTGATTCCTGGCAAGGGCACATACCTGGGTTGCGGGTTCAGTTCATGTTTCTCTCTCACATCTACGTTTCTGTTTCTCAATCTCCCTCTCTCTCTCTCTCTCTCTCTCTCTCTCTCTCTCTCTCTCTCTCTCTCTCTCTCTCCTCTTTAAAATCAGTGAAAATGTCCTCAGGTAAGGATTGACAAAAGAAAGAGTAAATAAATGTATTAAATACAATATTGAGAATAGGGCTACCTACACTGAATAAAATAACTCATACACAGGAATGCAGAGGAAATTTACCTTCTCACACTCTGAAAAACTTACGAAAACAAAGCACATTCTCCTAGCTATATCTATGTATTCTTGAAGTAAGAATACTCTCAAAAAGTAAGACTTTCTGAAGTTTAGATAACTAGAAGGCAAACAATCACTCATCTACAGGGAAAGAGAACTCGAAGATGGAAAAGAGGGGCGATGGTCAGAGTTTGCTACTTGAGAAGTCACAGACAAGTCCGGACTTGACTCTGGCTGCCAGGCCCAGAGGCTGGGTGACTGGTGCCTGGAGGAGAGGGCGGCCATGGGCAGGGTTCGAGACACTGCAGTGTTACGACTGACTGCTGCCCTCCACGCCAATGAAGTGTGAGAGCACCGAAGTGGAACCGAGCTGCCCCCTGTCTCATCTATCATCTTTCTACTTACCTCACCTCTTATCTTCTGGTTTCTGATTCAGGGGCCACTGAAACTAACCTCCTTAGAACGTCCACAGCCAAGGGCCTCATCCACCTTACATCCACCTTACGTGCTGATCTGTCTGCAGTATCTTAGACCATGGACAAGCCCGGGTTTTCCCCTTGGCTTCCACTCAGGGCTCCTCTTACCTTCCTAGTTACAACATCTCAGCTTCTTCACAGTTCTTACCAATTCTCTTCAATTTTTAAAAAAAATATATTTTACTGATTTTTTACAGAGAGGAAGGGGGAGAGAGCGAGCTAGAAACGTCGATGAGAGAGAAACATCGACCAGCTGCCTCTTGCACAGCCCCTACCGGGGATGTGCCCGCAACCAACGTACATGCCCTTGACCAGAATCGAACCTGGCACCTTTCAGTCCGCAGACGGATGATCTACCACTGAGCCAAACTGGTTTCAGCAAATTCTCTTAAATTTTATCACAGAAATATCTTTTAAGCTAGACCTCATGTTCATTGCTACTGCCTTAGTTCAGGCCTCTGTTCTCTCTTCTGAGTTTCTGACACTGTCTTCCTGCTGGTCTCCGGCCCCATCTGTATACTTCCATGCTGCTAGAGTTACCTTCCCCAGAACAAATACCTGATCATGTCCTTCTCCTCCTTATAAACCCCCGCTGACAGACTTCCCACTCTCAATGATATTCAAACGTGACACGTTAAATTTCTTCATTATCTTGCCTCAACGTTCTTCCTTAGTTTCATCTTCTCTACTCTACCCAGTTTAATCCGCCCTGAACTTCTCCCTGTTCCCTGAATACACTATATCCTAGGCTGCTGTGCCTGAATCTTTTTCACCTGGAAAAGTCCTTTTCTTCTTCTAAGGAGGAGGTCACTCCTAAGGAAGTCCTCCTCGGCTCCCCTAAGCAGAGCTTCCCGTTCTTCATTCTCTGAGTGCCCACGGCACTGTGATCCAGCATCAAACCTCATCCATCCCACTTGCAATCTACCTGCTAACTGTCTGATTCCCACCACCTCCTGAATACCTCAAAGTCAGAGACAACTGTTTTACTAGTTTTTAAACACTCCCAGGCCCAGCACAATACCTTGCCTATGGCACGATTGCCTCTCTAAGTATGTTGATTGAATCAATCATAACCCTCTCATAACAGGGAGGAGAGCATCTAAGGGGGACAGACGGGTCTGCTCACCGCTGAACGTCCTTGTTCTTCCACACGGAGGCAGACTGAGCCTTGGGCACTCTTTCAATGAAATTCACCAGCTCTTCCATGAGAAGCCTGAGTTTAAAGAAACAAAAAAAGGGATGAACATTCACAGAAGAACTAGGGAAACACCGCACTCTAACACAGAAGCCAACAGAAATGGGCTTGTCTGCCTTCTCCCTCCCCTTTCCCTCTGCTGCATATGAATGTGGGCACCATTTCACATAAAGCTAAATACAAATCTAGCCTCCTATTGAATTTCCAAGTTAAAAATTTGGAACATAAATGATTTAGTTCACCTCTAAAACAAGTCTGGCATGTTTTCATCTCCAAACACTGTCATATATAGGCCTCTCAGGTTTAATTTTCACTCTAAGATCACTGCGGTTATGGAACTAAAAATACAAATGGAGAAAAAGTTAAATGACTGTGAAGGACTTGCTGTTGGTGGCAGCAGGGGTCGGTTGGATTTTTAAAATGATATTAAATGGCCTGGCCGGAGATTGAGCTTTGACCTACGAACCAGAAGACTAGGTACGATTCCCGGACTGCTGACTTGATCCCCAGTGTGGGGTGTGCAGGAGGCAACCTATTGAAGATTTTCTCTCATCACTGATGTTCTCTCTCTCTCTCTTTCTCTCTAAAATCAATAAAAATATGTTTAAAACAAATAAAAGAAAATTAAATTATATTAAATGACCAATTTAAACTGGTAAAGTTTTTCTTCCTGTGTGTCTTAGGGCTTAACCAAATTCCATATGGAATCTTCCTAAAGGAGGGGTGGGAAACGTTTAGCCCTCAGGCCACATAAGGCCTGAGAAATCATTTGGTCTGGCCCTGCCAAGGCATTAGGAGTGAGTTAACGAAATGTTTGATGAAATACAGCAGGCCAATTTTTAAAGTGATAATTTTGTGTGGCCCGTGAGTGATGTTGTAAATATCCAAAGGGCTCTTGGCAGAAAAAAGGTTCCCCAGCCCTGCTCTAAAGACTGATCCTAAAAACCTAACTCAAGGACCTACAAAAGGGCAGGCTATGCACATCATGAGATGGATTACCACAGAACCACACTGAGGGAATGTAAGAAATAGCCCACTCGATGGGATTGATGGTTGGCATGCTCTGAGGGGTTCATGCACAGAGACCTGTCAGAAACCCGGATAACTACAGGAAGAATAATAAGCTGGAAGCAGGTTATCAACAGCATGAGACCCCTTGCATAACCCAGTAGAGATGATCCATACTGACTCCAATCCCCTCCCAATCAACCATCAATGTATTAGCACTTGAATGCTGAGCGCCTTCACTTCATTTCCATTTATTTATTTATTCCTAACATCACCCCTTCTTTCAACTTGAAGGAGCAGTATGAGTCCCAGCATCTAAGATCTGGGACCAAGCTCATTACCATTTTAGGAGAACAGCTGTAACTTTTTCAGACTGGAGTCCAATGCTTTCACCTCAAACTCTTCCTGAAACTGATCCATCACCTCCCATGTCTCTTCTCAGATCCCTTACATTGTCCTATACACACTGCTGGTAATGTGATTTGACACAAAAATAAGGACATACTGTTTTATTTCCGGTAACTCCATCTTGTTGGACTTCTGCAAGACACTAGAACCCATACTTTTGGTCTTGATGGCTTCATCTTATACCACACTTATTAGTTTGCTTCAACATAATTCTTTCTCCTGGAGTCATTTTCTTCTCACTAACTGATGCTATGGTCATTTGCAGCAATCATAAAGGCTTGGGAGAGGCAGAGAAAGAGACAGCAGGGCGTTCTGAGTCTAAGGAGGCCTGAGGTTTTACTCCTTGGAGTTCTACGTTGCAGTCTCCTAACAGTCAAGACAATTTTACCCATCTAGTTTTCTACATGCTGTCTGCATTTAGTCCACACTAATCCATAAAGGGGGGGGGGGGGGCGGAAGGGCATTTTGAAAGCAAAGTAATAAAATTTCTTCTTTTCTTAAATATGCTGTTCCTTTCTCCGGAAGCTCTTCGCACGCAGTGCTTACTTGTGGCATCTTATTAAACATTACCTCCCCTGATTAGTATCTGCGCAGAGGAGCTGTCTCGGGAACTCCTTCTCCCAGTTTTGATTTAAAAAAAAAAGACAGTGAAGACTGCTGGCAGCACCAGCCTCTGGGAGATTCCAGTGACCATCTGTTTTATCTAGAGCGCAGTCTGTTCATGCCTGTTCTCGGGTCGGCTGCAAGGGAGGAAATAACAATCACTCCTGGCACAGCACTCTGTGAACAGTCACCAGTGAAGGAAGGAGCTCTGAGCCTCATGCTCACGGATGGAGCAGGGTCTCACCTGCCGATCTGGACGGTGGGCTCGGTAGCGTACACCGTGCCTGTGAAGCCGGTGTGCTCGGTGATGTAGGGCAGCGCCATCATGCAGTGGTAGTTAGAGATGAGGATCACATCTACCGTAGACAGATCTATTAGCTCCGTCTGAAAAGGAAGGAGAGGGGATGATGCATATCTGTTCCGAGCCCATAGATCAACATGCTGTGACTAGAAGAGGAAGCTGTCAGAATGCAGAGCGGTTTGGGTGCTACAGAATGATGCTGTCTTCTGTGACACTCCTGTTCTCACGTTAGGATGTTTCCTGATATTGACGGTGGGTAGCAGGACAGGATGGCTAACAATGAGAATGCAGCCAGGACACCAGCAGCGCCTTAAACCGAGTTCCGAGTCAGACCTATGAGGATAAATGCTGCCTGGCAGGTGAGACCAGGAAACACGATGCAGAGACAGCACAATACACCTGTGAGGGGAACTAGCATGCAAAGTGTCCCCACCACTGATCGTGGGAACAGAGGGAGCAGCACAGAGACACCAGCTCCTCCAAAGTCAAACGTGGGAACCGATTTTTTTTTTTTAATTGCAGAGAGGAAGTGAGAGGGAGAGTTAGAAATGTCAATGATGAAAGAGAAACATTGATTGGCTGCCTCCTGTAAGCTCCCACTGGGGATCAAACCCGCAACCCAGGCATGTGCCCTTGACTAGAATCGAACCTGGGACCTTTCAGTCCACAGGCTGATGAGCCACCCACTGAGCAAAACCAGCTTGGGCGGGAACTGGCTTCTGCTGTTTTTTTAAGGTAACTTCTGACCACTAGTGCTGGATATAGACACCTCCCCTGCACTCCCCCCCCCCCCCCCCCCCAAAAAAAAAAGTAGTGACAGAGACACAAAAGGAAATTATACTCTTATTTTACCCTAGTCTGAACCCCAAATCTACCCCTTTTCCCATTAAGGGCATGTAAAATGGCAGGTGAGGGAAAACTGCTACCATGTTCAGTAAATTTTATGAAAACTTTCTTCTGAGGAAATGATTCTCTTGCTGATTTGCCCAGATGAAAGAAACCACTTCTCAGAACCAGCCAGGCACTTCATGCATGCCCCTCTCATGGCAGTTATTGCTCTGCACCATGGCAACTCAAATATCACTTTGTCCCTTACACAGTGAATGTCTCTTGGGTCAAGAATGCTGCTGAGTCATCTCTGTCCCCTCCCAGCTGCATAGCCAGCACAGGACTGGCCTCCGCTCTGCTGCTGGAGGGATGCAGTCACAGGCAGCCTGCACCTTCCGTGGGGAAAACTGAGACGCAATCACCTCAGCCACTGAGTCCCCCTCACGGAAGTTACCGGGGAAAGCGCAGGGTGCACTGAGGACAGCTGCTGCAAGCTGAGGAAGTCTTTCAGAAGAACGGGTCACTGCCCTAGGACGCCCCCCACGGAGAAGTGACAGAGATGTCTGTGCCTTCTTTGCAAATGACAGAGACAATGTACCATTTTGCTGTGGGTATTTTCTGGTTGAATGACTTGACACATGAAATAAGTTAATCTAATAAGGCTGCTGAGGCATAATCAGCTACTGAGAACGGCATGCAGATTCGAGGTCAAAAGCTACATAGTGCCGAGGGCAATGGCAATCTGTGTGAATAAAAGGCTTAATGACAGTATTCAATTTACATCACCCTTGACCCCACGTCGTACACTGAACTTCCAGGACAATGTCTTCACCGTGAAAGGTCATGTAGCATTCCGCTGGTCCTATGCCCACCACCGCTCTAGAACCACTTTTATTGTTGATTTTATTTAAATATATTTTTATTGATTTCAGAGAGGAAGGAAGAGGGAGAGAGAGAACCATTGATTGGCTGCCTCTTGCATGCCTCCCACTTGGCATCGAGCCCACAACCTGGACATGAGTGCTGACTGGGATCGAGCCGTGACCTCCGGGTCTAGAAACACTTTTATACAAAGACATGAAGACGGAGAGACAGAGTGACAGACCCAGAAGAAAATGGGGAAGGACAGCTGAGGCAATAGCCATGCTCCAAAGCTTCTCTACCTTCCTTCCCTGCCATGTACAGGGCCTGCATGAGAGTATTTGACATTTCTCTTTAATGTATAAAAAAATCAGCCCAGAGTCTATAATGATGAGAACTTTGGTGGGTACAGCTGGAAGAAAATAGGTATATATATATTCTGTCTGCATATATGTCTACATAAAGTGTCTACATAAAGATTTTTTAATCCGAGAAATAAATTTAATATCCAGGCCACGTTTATATACTCACATTTATATATTTACTTACATACTTTTACTCAGTGAAATCCAATAAAGATTATTTTAATTTTAAACTGTATATAGACACGTGGATTCTACAGCCTATAAACTGGGTCAAAACTACCCCATTTATTGCTTGCCTATTATACTGTCCTGGGCCTTCTATGCAGTCCCTGGTGTAGAAGTTTGGGGACACTAGCATGTTTAGGTAATCATACAAGATTATAAACTTTATGAGGACTGGGGTTAGGTCTGCCCGATTCAACCAAGTCAGTGAAGTCTGGGCTTAGTAAGCACCTCTCTCCTGAGTCTCTGACTCTCCTACTTTCTCCTGATGATGTAATGCCCTGGTTCTACCTTAAAATAGCAACTATTACTAATTGTTATAAAAGCCACAAATTATGACAGAAGTTGAAAAAAATTATATGGCTCTAGAATCCTAAATATATCAATACTCTTTGAGCTTGCCAAAGGTGAATGGCAAAATGCTAATTGTCTCATTTCAAAGTTTAGCACCCCACGGAGCAGGCCAAAAAAAAATCATGAGAACACCAACCCAGGTTCCACACTGTCGTCCATAAACTGAGGGTGTAGCAGTCAGTGCCGTGTGCGGGAAGCTGGAAATAGACCCGGCACCAGGATTAGGAGTCTCTGCACAGGTGGGGAACCACCCCACCAGTTCCTCGATGACGAAGGAAGATGACAGGGACACTAACTGCAGACAGGGAGAGCTCAGGATTCTGGACCACTGTCTTCCTTCTCCCTTATCCTTACTACTTGACCTCAGACTCTCTCCCTTTGCTGCTACCTCCAATGACCATGTCCTTTTTTGTTTTCCTTCCTTTCGTTCACTCAGGTATTCCAAAGGGCACACACACATACTTGGAAGAGAGAAAAATGGTTACCTATAGGGTATCAAAGAAAGTATAGAAATGGAAAGAGAGGGAGGAAGAGAGGACAAAAACAAGGGGAAGGGCTCTACATTTCTTTGGCCGTAACTGTAAAGGAATTTCCTACCGGTGCTGTGACCCAGTGGGTGGCCAGGAGAAGACAGGATGGTAGCTTCTCATTGATTTCCTCAGGAACCCCGGATTAGCTACTGGCTCCCCTGCACTCCATCTGTCTGCTGAGAGCGCCCAGGCCGCTCAGGGGATCAGGCCTGTGAGCTGAGATTCGTTTCCTTTAAAACTAATGGAAACTGATCTCTGTTTCCTTTAAAGCACATGTGTCAAACACAAGGCCCGCGGGCCAAATCCGTCCCGCCAGGCCTTGCAATGTGGCCCACACCGCGCTGTCATCACTGCACTCCGCTGCGTTTCCATCACAATGACAGTTTATGACTGTTCAGTAAACCATTCGGCCCGCGATTTAGGCTGGATTTTAGATTTTGGCCCCTTCTCTGATTGAGTTCGACACCCCTACTTTAAAGGATGAAACTGGCCCCGGACTCTTATAACGAGTCTCACTATGATGATAATATGTAAATGACAGATATCCATAACTCAGTTCAGAATCTGTGAATTTCAAGCAATAGTCAATGTGATCTTTCAGGTCAGCAAGAAATTTCAGTTTACTGCACTGGCTGAAGAACAGCAATTCCCAGTTACCACTCTAAGCAAGAAGAGGAAAAGCAGGGCTAATCTAAGTCACAGGCACTGTAATTACAAAACAAAGGCCTGAGCTATTTCCTTACTTTGCTCAAGAGCACAAGTGTTAGTGGGGATTATGGAAAGAGCTAGGAACAGGAGGAGGAGAGTGACAAATGATGCCCAGACAACAGAAGGAACTCCTAAATGATATTTCAGCTGTGTAACGAAGTGACTGAAATAACAGATTCATTTCAACTTGAAGAGAGAAGCTAAACCCCTTAAAATTATTTCCTGACTTCATTTTGAGATGACGAGATAGGCTTTATTTCTACAGTGAGATTCACTTTAATCTTACCTCTGGTAAGCAGAATTCAGGCACAGAATCCACAAATACATGGCCCGAGCACTCTTTCAGCTCCTGAAAGAAATGAAAAGGAAAAATTCTAGGGAGAAATATCCAATTGATACAGCAACAAAGAAATTTCATCCTCAAACCATATTTGCCATGAAGAATCAGAGATGGCTAGAGCTGGAGGGAAGCTAGAAGGTGTTGCAGGCCAACGGTTTCCAGTGTAGGCTCAGGGAGGTTAGGTGTCTTACTCAGGATAACAAATGCTGGTAGGTGGCGGACTCAGGACCGGAATGCATATTTCTTGATGGCTCTTCGAGGAAGCCATGTGTGGACACACGCTGCTTCCATAATTCATGATCCAATGCTTCTCGAATAATAGCAACATTGGAATACACATGGGCACACTGATGGAGTCAAGACTCCTGGGCCCTACTTAACAGCCAAGAGGTCAGAAACTCTGGGGAAGAGGTCATGGAACCTGTATTTATAACAAGCACCTCCAGTGATTTTATTATGGAATCAGGGCCAAAGGGCAAGAAAGGAGGGGGATGAAGAGTAGAAGATGGGAATTAAACTACCACCTCCCCCCATTATCTTCATGAATATAATCTTTGTCCTTGCAGAGCATACAATTTATCTGAGATTATAAACCAAATGTAATCATTCAAAAGAAAAAAGCATATTTGTAGTATAATTCCCCACGCTGCCTATGACCTACCACATTGGATATGCCTGCCTCAGCGTGGACTCCCATACAAATATCCCTGAGGAAAGGGTGAGTGCAAACTTTAATGGAGGGTGCTGAAAAACAGGGGGAGGGTGGGCAAGTGACAAAAGGAAAGGAAGAGGGCCAAAATGGATGTGTTATTGAGCTATACACCTCTGTGGGCAAGTGGGACTTAATCCATGGGAACTTTGGTGTATAAATTACCTTGGAGTTATCCTACCCAGGGGACATGGAATCTGAGGTATTTATAGAGGAACCTCTGCAGTTTAGAGCTGCAGGGAAAAGTCTCTGGTGAACCATCCAGGGACTGGCAGTTGGAAGTATGGTAGAGCACCCAGAAGAGACACAGTGAGCCACCAACAGGGTCTGCTGCAATGCCTCCAGAAGGCCACTAGAGTTGCTGTCTTCCCTGATACCTGAAACTGAAATCTATGGAGAATGTTTTGTGCCATCCAGTCAAAGCTATCTATGACTTTATAAAAAAAACTAGAGGTCCGGAGCACGGATTCATGCACCAGTGGGTCCTTCAGCCTGGCCTGCACCCTCTTACAACCCAGGACCCGTTGGGGGATATAAGACTGATGGTTTCAGCCCAATCCCTGTGGGTGCTGATCCCTGAGGGTGAAGCGGCAGGCAGCCAGGGAGAAGCCTGAGCCCAGGATGGGTCTGCGCCATTCCTGTTCATTCTGGCCTCGCTAAGCAGCCTTCCTGCTGTGGGAGCCCACTGACCTCCAGGGGCAGCGCCTGTGTTGAGCATCTGCCCCTTGGTGGTCAGTAAGCGTCATAGTGACTGGTTGTCGGGTAGTTCGGTCACTTAGGTTTTTATATATATAGATATATAGTTTAGTTGTCTGACAGTTTGCTCTTTCCAGAACAAGAATTTTGTTCTATTGGGTTTTCATTAGTCACTGAACATATTTTTCTATATATTCCTATGTATATGCATCTATATTTATATTTCAGTCTGAATGATTTTACTCTTAATCTTTATCTGAACATATATATTATTTTCCTTTTGAATTTCACAAATCTCATAGCAGACCCTTGACAGAATATTTCCTCCCCTCGCCTTTCATTGTAAACTCTAATTCCTCTTTTTACATGAATAGCATTTAACCAGTGAAAGGCTGAGCCAAAAAGATACTGCGAACAGTTCTTAATTACAATGCATCTGCCAGCTAAAAATGAATAAACAATTATGTTTAATGAGAGAAGATTCCCAAATCCCTCAGGATGAGGTTAAAAATGATTGCAGACAAATATTGGGAAATTTCAAAGCTCTGCCTGGTCTTAAACTGGCTACATAACCTTCTTCCCCACAAGTCCACAAGCGCCACGGCATGCCTTCCTCGTGTGACAAAGCCTCCTCCGAGGCTCTCCCTCCTGACGGCAGAAGCAGGCCTGCCATGCTGTGCACTCACAATGTCACTGTGTTTTACTCACCACCCTCTTCTAATGAAATGCTCTCACGTACACAAGTCATTTGTTCACAATGCACTGGTAATGGGATGCTTCTGAGCCTTTCTCAGGGAAAAATAATTTACAGCCATCAGAAGAGTCAGGCTGATTTCAGGTGCACAGACTCCTGAATGTCACATAGTTTTACGGGTTAACTGTGAGAGAAATCTCATTTCAAATTATACACTTGGCTTGCGCTTGAGGTTGGGGTGCAGTTCACAGAAATTAATTCTGTAAAAAAACCACCTCTTTATTTAATAAATAGAAGCTCGGTGCACCAATTCACGCACAGGTGGGGATCCCTCGGCCTGGCCAGCTATCAGGGCCGATCAGGGCACATCTCGTCCAGACCTGATCAGGATTGGGTTGGGGAAGGGACCATGGGAGGTTGGCTGTGGGAGTGCACTGACCATGAGGGGGCAGCTCCTGCATTGACTGTCTTCCCCCTGGTGGTCAGTGCACGTCATAGCAACTGGTCAACCAGTTGTAATGGTCGCTTAGGCTTTTACATATACACTGAGTGGCCAGATTATTATAATCTCTGAATGCAAAATAATCTGGCCACTCAGTGTATATCCTATATAATAAAAGGCTAATATGCAAATTGTCCCCTCAACCAGGATGTGGGCAACTGCCAATGTCCCCTCCCACTGACCAGGCTGGCCCGACCCCACCCATGCATGAATGCATACACTGGGCCTCTAATACATACACACACACACACTCTGAATGGCCAAATTATTATGTGTTCAGAGATCATAATAATCTGACCACTCAGTGTATATAGATATCTATTACAAGAAGGAAATGTCTTATTTAGATGAATCATTTTAAGGATCTTTAAACATAGTCAGTCTTTTAATCCTGAGATGTGGGAAAGAATGATTTAGAAGACTAAGAATGGCATGGATGAGCTTTTAAGTTTTTAACTCTTTTTGTACCTTTGGTCTCTCATTTATAAGTTAACTGCCTAAATAATGATCTGAAGAAGAAATTACTGTGAAGATAATGTCAACCAGCCACAGTGGCTCAGTGGTTGAGTATTGTCCTATGAACCAGAAGATCATAGTTCAATTCCTGGTCAGGGAACATGTCCAGGTTGCAGGCTCGATCCCCAGTGGAGGGTGGGCAGGAGGCAACCAACTGATGATTCTCTCTCATTATTGATGTTTCTATCTCTTTCTCCATTTCCCTGCCTCTTTGAAATCAGTAAAAATGTATTTTTTAAAAAGATAATCTAATGTCAAAAACCCAATAGCCTAGAAAAAATAAGTTATTTACTTTAGGCCTTGTTAGTCAATGATTAGAGTTGATAGGATCCCAAATCTTAGATTCCTGGAACTATGTTCTTTTTTCATTATCTACTACATTGTCCATTCCTGGCTAGCAGGAAAGGCTGGAATAAGATCACAGAACATAGCCTGGAAGGCCCCCCACACAAACTTACTAGGAACATGTTTTCACCCTAATCCCCCCAGAATGTACTGCCTGGGAAGTTAAACACCGGCACTCAGTCTGTTCTTCACCCAGAGGTCAGAGTGAGCCAATCAGACGATGACAATACCTTCCAGCAACCTTCTGTGATCTCCCCTCACCCTGCAAAGACCCAAACTTTATAATGCCCTACCTGATCTGACCTCTGACAGAAGCAGTTTAAAACTCACATACTAGAGAGTTTTAAAGTTGTTGTTTCTTTCAAAGTTTACTCCTTCCAGCCATACAGTTGGTGGAATTCGTTAAATAATATCACCTTTGAAAATCTCATTGCAACTACAAAAATTCTGGTTTTCTCTTTGTGGTGATAAAATGTATTTGCAGCTCTTAATTTTTTCACATAAGAAAACTGGACCTGAATTTGAACAGGGATTCCCTTAAAAGGCTCTTCAAAATCACCAAGTACTACAGACCCTACGTGGATCTTGGGATTTTTTTCAGGGAGAATACATGGGGGTGGAGAGGAAGAGCCCATAAATCACATCACTGATGGGTGGCCCTCATATATGACACGAGGGTTTTCCACTGGGTGCAGCTACACTTCAGTTACTCATTACCTTGTCCAAGAAAACGTTTCCATCCTTTAGGGACCAGCCGGGAAGATTAGACAGCCTGGGACTGCAAAACAAAAGATTAAATTATCCTAAATAGATTATAATCCTTAGTAATTTCAAGGTGACTATAGTATATTGTCTCCATAAAGTTAAAAACAGCTGGAAATTATTGGCAGCGACGCTCACCAAAAATACTAATTAAAAAGATGAAAAAAAGAACCCTGTTGTATCAAGCTTAAGATTTATATGGCAATGGATCATTAAAAAGCCAAACAGTTTAGCAGTACATTTAGGGAAAATGAAAAGAACACTACGCAGAACAATAAAGAAAAAGGCAAGATGAGACATTAGAGCATTTTATAGTTTTCCAGTCACTGGCCCTGACTTCAAAATAGTCACTTCTTCAAAATAGACTCGCCCAGGCCGTGGTATTTTGTGGAAGAGCCACACTCAAGGGGCCAAAGAGCCGCAAGTGACTCGAGAGCCGCAGCTTGCTGACCATGGCTCTGGGCAACATTAAGAGACTTGCCTGGGTCTATGACGACTGAGGGAGATCTGGACAGTAGTAGAGTCAAGGAGTAACTGGGTCAAGGGACAGGGTTTGCAGGGAGCAGAGAAAGTAGGCTATGAGTTCAGTACTCTCCTCCTCTCACTCTCACCAGCCTCTGGCATGGACACCTTACATTAAGCATGTTAACTCCCCACCTGCGGGCAGTATGTGGCCCACAATCAATATTTTTGCAGCCCCGCCAATATAACAGTATGTAAGAAACGTTCTAATAAAAATTTTGTAACGTAATTTTTACAATATCTTGTTATACATAATTATTAATGACGAACTTCAATATTCTCTACTAACTGATTACTATAATCCTGTTGCATTCATTTCCCCTAAGGGCCTTATGCGCAGGCGCACCATTTCTATCCACTAATATTAACAAGCTAGTATTTTAGCAGCCAATTGCCACATCATTAGTCTTATACTGACTTGTTTGGTGTGTGCAACAGAAAATATTTCGCTTCCAGAAAACAAGAAAAATAGGTTTATTTGCATTACCCTTATTAATTTGTGCAGTTATTCCATGTCTGGTAAGTTAATATTCAAGAAAAAATATTAATTTTTACTAAAATGTTCTATTATTTTCTGTTACCCTTTACTCATTTATTTCAGCCCTTTGTATTCAGCAAGTCTCTATAGAAATAAACCTACATTTTCATGAAAAATTGAAGCTTTTGTTTTTTTGTAGCTCACATAAACTTAAACCTTGTTTATTTGGCCCATGATATAGCCTTTGAGTTTGACACGCTTTAAAAGGTTATTCCAATGAAATTTCAGGAAGAGTCCCATACACTCCCTCCCCCCTCATCCAACTAGAAAGCCATCTCTGTGTCGTTTCTGTGTAGAAACTGGAGTCATAAATGATCCGAGAGATAAGCTCTGGCTGAGTAGGCTAAAGGGGGTGGGGTAGGGGAGGGGGAGAAGAGCCTCCAGGGCTGAAACAACAATGTGTGACTGTCTTGGGCAGGAGATAAGATTTCCTTGAAACTGAAAGGAAACAAAGAGCAAGATACTAGAGGGCCAGGCGTAAAGTTTAATATACCAAGATGTACTTGGTGTGCATCCTGAGAGCAATGAAAGATCACTGTTTTAAATAGGTGAGAGGTGAGGTGAGATTTAATTTAAAAGATGGTTCCGAAGAAAACCTTGCAGGTGTGGACCTGGGCCAGTTACTGTGTGTCTCGGGTGACTCTGTTGATCCACAACATCACTTTTTGCTATTGGGACTAATGAGCTTCTAAAAGTTAGCACTTTTTTAAAAAATAAACTGCTGTTTCTAAATAACAGCAAGCTTCCTAGATGAGGTCTTAAGTAAACAGCCCTGATTATATACCTGGGATAACCTATCTGCTTTAAGACAGGGACTTTGGCTTCATATCCAATATGAAGATAGCTACAGCTGACCCGTATAAAAATAGTGCATAGCTACCCATCAAAAAGAACTGTCAGGCTCTATGATGTCAGGTCCCTGCCAAGGCAGTTAAGTGATTCTAAAATTCAATTCTGGGGCTCATCAGTTGACCATTTATACGAATTAGCAGGAAAGATGAAATACACATGACCTCACTTGCACTGAGCAGTTGCAGGAACATTTTACAGAGGCTCAGAACTTATAATAAAGAAGTCATCAATAAATCAATACAACACTTTCCATCATCCCAGCCAAAGGAAATGATTTTGATGAAGAACGTTTTTTTTTTTTAAGGGAACAAAATAAACTTAGGACAAAATACACGACACAGGTAACCTTTATATAGATGGGTACCCATTTTTCAGCAAACAAAAGCTCAGTTGGTCTCAAGTTGCATCAACACATACCTTTGAACAAGTGGCAAAGGAAGGAAATTGAGAGTGGAAGTCATGTCCAGTCCACAGTCCAGCATAATGGTAGTTGATTTGAATTTAAGCACATTGCATGGTAAGGTTGGGTGCCCGGACAGGCAATACTGAAAAAAAAAAAAAAAGTAAATCACTTTTATCAATAATCAATTACCAAAAAAGCCCAAAAAAGTACAGTAAATTAAATAAAGCTGATCATTTTCTATCAAAAGAACAAATGTAAATGCAGATAACAACTTTCTATGTGGTTTTCTCCCTTTTACAGTCCTGAATACTACTTCCCCTAGCAGTTTCTACTACTCAAAAGTCTCAGATAAGACCTTATTTTTTGTAGGGAATCAATGGATCTCAAGCAAGCGCAGTAATTATGTGAAATACAAAGTTTCCAAACTATAGTTACCTGGTCCACTCTCACATGACACTTCCAAATTCCCACTATCACATTGCACCTAGATACTGCCTAAAGCTGTGGGAGTTAATTACATCCTACACCAGATCCTCCAACTGTGTGATAAATAAGTCAAGTGATTTTTCCTCAAAATCACTTGACTTATTTATAGACTGGGGAGGGTTAACAAGCAAGAATCAGTGAGGGATGATGGCACAGCCTTGTCAGAAAAATGACGCCAAAGGACAAGGGACTTCCCTGATGTGCAGCTACTAAGCAGGAGGGAGGGACACCTACTCCCAGCCAATCAAGAGTCTCAGCGGTGGCAGCAGACCTCAGAAGTCAAAGGTGCACAAGCCACAATGGAGTATTTAAAGGAGAGTGAGGAGGCAAGACCATACACTGACCTCAAACATTTCTCAGGCCCTCCCCAGTGCAGGGGGAGTGAGATGCCACACTGAGGATTATTTATATGGGGTGTGCCCTGTGCCACCTGTCGTAATTTGATCGCTGCTCTGAAGAAAAAAGAGTAAAGAAGAGGGAAAAGACCTTTCCCTCATTTTTAAAGTCACCACATACAGTAAAGCCCGGAAAATAAAGGGATTGATGCTCTTAATCCCTTGACAAGTACATTTTTTCCTTTCCAATTTTAGGTACAGCACCAGAGTAAAGTGACATCAATGCCTGGTCCCACAGCAGCTCAGGCTAAGTCTTCCCAGGTATTTGTGGTTTGCTGGTTCTGTCACAGAATATATGTCCTACTTTTCTCTAGAGGACATTATAGGGATTGGTGATTAAGCCCCCCCACCCCCCCCCCCCCATATTTTTATTGATTTCATAGAGGAAGGGAGAGGGAAGGCGGGAGGGAGGGAGAGAGAGAGAAACATCAATGATGAGAAAATCATTGATTGGCTGACTCCTGCACATCCCCCTACTGGGATGCCCTTGACCAGAAGTGAACCCAGGACCCTTCAGTCCACAGGCTGATGCTCTATCCATTGAGACAACCCAGCAGCTAGGGACTGGTGATTTTTTTAAAACTGCATGTTCTAAGAAGGATAAGGCCAAGATCGAAAAAGAGTATATTTTGCAAGCTCCTTTATTCTAAGCTTATGTATGATGATTATATTTCCCAAACCGAAATTCACAACTCATGGTCTGAATGAGTACAAAGTTACTTATAATGAAAACAGTACAAATTATTTAAAACTAGAGGTCATGCATGGGTCATGCGGCCTGGCTGGCAATGGAGGCCTATGGGGAGGTTGGCTGGCTGGGGGGAGGGACCCAAGGAGGTTGGCAGGCTGGGGGGGTGGGGGGAAGAGGTAAGGGGCCACAGTTGGTTGGCTGTGGGAGCGCACTGACCACAAGGGGGCAGCTCCTGTATTGAGTGTCTTCCCCCTGGTGGTCAGTGCGTGTCATGTCAACTGGTCGTTTGATTGTAATGGTTGCTTAGGCTTTTATATATATAGATTGTAATTGTCCTTAAAACGTCCAGGAATCATGATTTAGGTAATTATACTTTGTAAAAATTCATTCTTTGATAGGTATCAGAATTACAGAATACCCCATTCTCCCACAGTTCCCCATTGCTAGCTTGGTCTTATCCCTATCTAAGAATTATTTGTTAAACTGTCTCAAATGAACCAAAGCATCATGTTAAAATTGCCCCAAATAAGCCAAATGTTCTGATAAGAGCTTTCCTACATTTCCCCTTTTAAAAAGAAATCAGATAGAGATCCAAGATGGTTGCGCCCAGGTGAACACCTAGCCGCAGCCGCACACAACAATTTCAATAAAATACAACTAAAATATAAAACGAACATTGCCCAGAACTACAGGAAGGTTGACTGACTGGAAATTCTACAGTGAGAAGCAAGGAGAAAACCAGAAGGAGGCGCGGAGGAGCTGGAAAAGCCCAAGGTACGGAGACACGGCGAGCGGAGAGGAGGGAGGCGGAGTGCCTGGCGGGTGTTCCCTAGCGGAAAGGAGACAAAACTCCGACTGTGCTGGGCCCCCGACTGCTCTGAACCCCAGTTCTAGGCCAGACCCCGGGGACTCAGGCTCAGCCATAGGGAGCCGGGCTGTAAGGCGGAACCTTGGGGAGAGGCGAAAGGAGGTCCCGGAGGCGCGCACACCAGAGAAGGGACGGTTGGCTGTGCCGCGGGATTGCCCTGACGGGAAGGAGACTGGGACTCCAGACTGCTGTGAACGCCACCTCCAACTCCACTTCCAACTGAACTGAACCCCAATACCGGGCTCATTGTGGGAGAGCATAGACTGTTTGGCAGCAGGCGAAAATCGAGGGCACCTTTCTCTCAGAGGCGCTGGCAGCGAGCGCTGACGGACCCGCATAGGGCGGGGCTGACAGAAGCCAAAGCTGCAGGCTCCATCCTGAAACCCTGACCCATCTGTAACTGCGAAATGCGACAACAAAATAGATCACAAACGAAAGAAATGGAGGACAAAAAGCGTCTGGATATAGAGTTCAAATCTACGCTTATAAGGTTTTTCAAGAATTTCCTAGAAAAGATGGATAAGGCCTATGAGGATATGAAAAGAGATCAAGTAGAATTAATAAGGAGTCAACAAGAAATGATAAGGGATCAACAAGAAATAAAGAATACATTGTCTGAAATAAAAAATATTTTACAGAGTCCTAAAAACAAAAGGGAAGATCGCAAGAATCAAGTCAAAGATTTGGAACATAAAGAGCCAGAAGACACTCCTCCACAGAAGCTAGAAGGCAAGAGAATCCAGAAAATTGAAGATAATGTAAGAAACCTCTGGGACAACTTCAAGCGAACCAACATCAGAATTATGGGGGTCCCAGAAGATGAGAGAGAGCAAGATATCGAAAACATACTGAAAGAAATAGTGACAGAAAACTTCCCCCACCTGGTGAAAGAATTAGACTTACAAGTCCAGGAAGCGCACAGAACTCCAAACAAAAGGAATCCAAAGAGGACCACACCGAGACACATCATTATTAAAATTCCAAGAGCAAAGGACAAAGAGAGAATATTAGAAGCAAGAGCAAAGAAGGTAGTAACCTATAAAGGAGCACCTATACGATTGTCAGCTGACTTCTCAACAGAAACCATGCAGGCCAGAAGGGAATGGCAAGAAATATTCAAGGTGATGAATAGCAAGAACCTACAGCCAAAAATAATCTACCCAGCAAAGCTATCACTCAGAATCGAAGGCCAGATAAAGAGCTTCACTAATAAAAAAAAAGCTAAAGGAGTTCATCACTGCCAAACCAGAATTATATGAATTGCTGAAGAGGGTTCTTTCAGAAGAGAAAGTAAACAAAGATAAAAATTATGAACAACAAATACGTAACTATCAACAAGTGAATCTAAAAACCAAGGAAATTAAAAAAATCTGATGAACAATATTAACTGTTGAATATAATAGAATCAGAGGTATGGAAGGGGAGTGAACTGACGATTCTTGGGGAAAAGGGGAAAGGGGGGCGTGGGAAGAGACTGAACATAAACAGTGTACCTATGGATGAGGACAATGGGGAGTGGGGAAAGGGCAGAGGGTGGGGTGGGAACCTGGTGGAGAGCAATGGTGGGGGGGAAAAAAGGAACATTTGTAATAATATGAACAATAAAAACTTATTAAAAAAATATTTTCCAAAAATAAAAAAATCAGATATTCAGGAAAGCCTAAAAAAAAAATAACGTTAACTGAATATAATGGTTATCACTGGGTGGAAAGATAGGGTATAATTTTCTTCTTTCTGCTTTCTGTATTTTCCAAGCCTTTGACAATAAGCATTTATTACATTTGTATAATTAGAAAAAAAAATATGATTAAAACAAAACTGGAAATCTAGCCAGCAACACTGAATCACCGCATTTTTCTTATCTTCATTTTTAACTCTAAATTATGGATAACAGGTTACGCCAGAAGGCAGAAGATTAACGTGTAAAAACTGCTGCTCAAAAGATTTGAGGCAAGAGAATTTAGCTGAAAGACGACAGTTGCTCCTGTCACACGAGGATAAAGGTGAGGAGCAATTTATAAGGGCCATAACTGAACAGAAGATTTTCAGAGCATCTGCGAACAGAGTGTCAGGCCTTGCTCTCACTAGTTCCATTTTTATGGATGAGGAAATTGAGCTTCACACAGTTGAGTGGCTTGTCTGAGAAGAACCAGACTCGCAGCGAAGTCCCCTGACTGTAAAAATCCCACTCATGCTATTTCCCAAACAGCACTGCTCACTTTGTGGACCAACGGAGTCTCCTGAGACACACAGTTGCTGGCCCAGGTTCACACAACCAGTAACTGAGGCACCTGCAAGGTTCCTGGAGTTTGCCTGTCTCCAGTGACGTTCTCCACATGTACCTAATCCGCTGCCTGCAGTCACTGTAAGACCAATACATAGAAGTATTTACCAATCATGCGATTCCAATTTTAAAATTAGAAGTGAATCTACATGACAAAAAGTTTGAAAAATAATAAGAAAAATTGTAGCCACAATCATTTTTCTATTTCCTATCTTTTCCCCCCGTAGTATCTGTAAAGGCTGTAATTTTAGTACCCATACTGCTCTGCATGCTGCTTTTAAAACACAGGACTGTTTTTTGTCTATGGTGCATCAGACTTCATTTTTATTGTCTGCCTAAGTAAATACACCACCACTTGTGTAATCAATCCCTTACTGTTGAACGTGTAGTGCTGCTTCCACTCGCTCTATTACAAACA